TGCACAGCAAAGTTCCTATATAAAAATAGAATTTTGGATTACTGTTCTCTTTCATATGCAGATCTTGCAATTGTTTTGCCGACTTTTGCAAGTTAGTTCTTCCAGCAAGTTTAGTGATTGTATCAAATATGTACAACTTTAACAGAGACAGCAAATATTTATGAATGCTGGCTTTATTCTTTGATGTAGTCCTGAATTTTTGCAGTTGTTAAGTATTTTTATGTTTATAATTTCTTGTCTAGATAGTCTTAGGGTTTTATAGTTTCTGCATTTATTTAGGATTATTCTACTTCTGTTTTGGATTTCAGCCAGGTTGTATGTAAGGTCTCCACCCACAATGACTAAGTCTTTTATATATTTGAAGTATATAAGTAAGATTGAACGTGCCTAATGTTTATTGTATGTGTGTATGTATAAAGAATGCATAATCTGCTCCTTAGATATAGGTAGTGCTTATAAAATGTGTTTTCTGCTCAATTAAATTGAAAATTTATATTCAATTCAGATCTCACTATAGGAGGAGTTACTGTGATTACTACTCAGGGCATGCTCAATTATTTCTCAAGCGTAGCCCAGGAAAAAAATTTTCTTGAATATCTGACTTAACACTTATACCGTTAAAATGCATGTCTTTTAAAAGAAACTTCTATTTGAAAGGCTTCTATCTAATTTTGTGTGATTGTGCATTCCAGTTCAAAGCTTCTTAATACTAGATCATTGCAACATTGGCATGCTGGAAAAAGATCAGTGAAGTACCGCCAAAGATGAATACAGCTGGAGTACATGATGTACTGTAGGCTGAGGGCTTTGTGTATTTTCATTTGGAGAAGTCTAAGGAGACATTGGTTTGTTGCCTTTAGCTACCTGATAGGAGGCTATAAAAAATATGCAGTTGGACTTTTTCTTGAAGGTACAGGGTGTTTAGATGAGAGAAAACAAACACAAGGAGCATGGGAAATTTTTGTCGGGTATTAAGGAAATCTTTTTCAGGAAGACAGTCAAGCACTGGAACAAACTGTTCAGAGAGGTTGTGAAAAACCCACCTCTGAACATGAATTTTGCTATAGGCTTTGAGCCTGGTATAATTTGAGCCTACTCTAGGAGGGATAAAAGGCCAAATGGCCACCATAACTACAGTAACTATATTATATCCCTTCCAACTATATTAATCTATTATTATTATTATTATTAGTAGTAGTAGTAGTAGTAGTATTTTATTTTTCCACTTTCAAATATAATTATTGTGACTTTCAGTTTTGTTGCTGTATAAAAACGGTGTAGTGTTTCACACCAAAGAAAATTGTTATTAAATTGCACCTGTGTATGAATAAGCATAACTCTAGGGTAAATAGTATTGCTTGGTTTTGATTCCTTTTTGATTATTGCTTTGAGATTCTAGTGTGTCTAACAACCTTTCTAATGTGTGGGTTTTTTCTTGTTTCTGAAAGTGGAATGTAATGGGATATTAAGTCAAAATCCATGCAAATGTCTAATGAACCTGTATAGATATTTGTGGTTAAATTAAATGCTTCACTAAGTAGAAAGTATGCTCATGGCTTTTTTTTCTGTATGAAACCTTTTATTTTCAGATTTTCCTTGAGTATCTTTCTAAGAAAATAGAAGTTTCCAGCTACAAATCAACTTTTTTTTAAACTCTGCTGGTTTTTCTGCAGATGTAGAGAAACTTTGATTTACTGTGGTGCATTTTCAAGTAGGATAATTTTCCAAGTCAGGGTATGGAGTGGAAAAAAATGCAGAAAACTTCAGCACATGCTGAAAGCTTTTGAATAGTACTAACTGAAACTGGTTTACTGAATGTTGTCCCAGTACAAAAACATCTGCTAAGCAAACAGGGAGCAATTAAGAATACTAGGTGAAAGGGAGAATAAGACTTTAGCTTTCCAGATTTAAGCTAAGGTGAAACCACTGTACTCAAAAACTAGACTGCACTGATTATATAATAAATACATAATATACATAATTATACATAAAAATACATAGTATTAGGTTTTGGTGATATTAGAATATCAGTGTGGCTGGTTTTGCAGGTATTCAAAGTTAGTTGAGCTGCTTGTTAAGCTCTGATCGTAGCTCTCATACAGGTAAATTTTCAAGTAAATGCCCTTGGTTCACTGAACTCTTATTTCTTTGGCATGTTTCTAGAATTGGTATCTTTCTCAGTTTCTCTGATTTTTAATGGGGTTTAAATGGTTAAATGTATCTGTTTTTGTACTGAAAGAAGAGCTAATCAGGAAGTTGAGAATTGAAGTGATGTTTCTTTGGACTTCACAATTTACATGCTGATCCCTCATGTATTCAAAAGATTTCATTCGAATTTGCAGTAATGTTAACACTTGCCTCCCCCACCTCCACAGTTTTGCCAGCAGCTCAAGTAGTAGTGTAAATTGTGTTGATTTCAGTAATCCAGATTGTGTTGATGTTTTTTGAAGTGCCACTTTCATATAAGAATTTTTTTTGGAACTTTTCATAACTGCATTCTTCTCATGTGCTTACAGGAGGCCTAGCACTTTTGTATGAGAATTGAACTAATGTGTTTGTGTGGGATTAGTTCTCTTGTAGTCTGTCAATTTGTGTGTGTACCACATCTGCACACCTTATATCTTACATTGTTAATCAAATGCTGCCCCTGCTGCTGTTCCAGAAGGTCTGTGTTGGCTGGTGCCCCATTTGAGATGCAGGCTTTCCAGTTCATGCAGCTCTCTCTGCTGGTCAGCCTGTATATTCAGTTGTGCCTCAATAAAAGCACTGCCAGGATTTTTCCTTTAGTGTATGCCTGTCTTTTCCTACTTAAGGGTCAGGAGGTTTCACTGGAGACAGTCAGTTGCCTTCCTCCTCAAGTCCTTTAAAGATCTCTAGATAATTAACTTAGGTAATTCTGATGTATTCCAAATGTGAGTCATCATCCTTGCCAAATGGATTTGTAGTCCTGACTAATTTTGCTGCCATAATCTGTGTCTTTCCTGGGAGCAAAATGGTCTGCATTCTTTCTTTTCGTTTCTTACCCTGTTTACCTAGTTATTTTAGTATGGAATTGTCATTTTATGTCTTGACTGTCCTAGGTCATGCAACAACTGCTCATTTATTTGTTTTTTCTTGTCTGAAAATACCTATCAGATGTGCTGCTTTAAGTTTGCTTTATTTCCTTGGAAGTTGACTTCATGAGTGGATGATCATGATTCTCTGTCTTTTAAGTTAGTAAGTTATTCTGATTCTCTACCCTTCTGGGTCACAAAAGAAAAGTACTAGTTAGTAGGATGGGAGAAAGAAATAAACTGTAGAAAGTGACAAGAAAAGATGGAGAAAGGAAACAGAAGAAATTACATGGAAATGAGGATTGAGTGTTCTTCAGGTTAGTCATTTGGGGAGAAAAAGGTCAGAATTTTTGAATTAATTTTAGGACCTTAATATCTTATGGTCTGATGCTTTTCATATCTGAAGGGACAAACAGTTGTATAATTTTTTACAGGGTCATAGAATTGCTAAGACTGGAAAAGATCTCTGAGATTGAGTCCAACCATTGACCTACACTATGTTCGCCACGAAATGATATCCCTATGTGCCACATCATATGCCTTTTCAACACTTTCAGGGATGGTGATTCCACCACCTCCATAGGCAACCTGTTCCAATGCCTGACTACTCTTTCAATGAAGAAATTTTTCCCAATATCCAATCTAAATCTCCCCATGTACAGCTTAAGGCCTTTTCTTCTTGTCCTGTCATTTATTACCTGGAAGAAGATACTAAACCACAGCTCACTATAACCTCGTTTCAGGTAGTTGTAGAGAGGAAGGTGGTTGTTTTCAGGTGTTGCTTGTAGGTATCACAAAGCTGTTTCATTTAAATTCATCTTGGCTTAAAATATTTGTGAATCTTGGATGACTATGAAACTATCCAGAGAAAGTACTGTTGCAGGCTTGTTCTGCTCCTAGGGTCTTTTCTGGGCACTTAATCTTGGCTGCCACTAGAACTATATGTGCCTTTGGTCTCATCCTGTATGCCTGTTCTGAAACAAGTGAACCAACAAATGGCCTGGAAAATATGTACTGAGAGAGATTTAACTTTCAAGATCAACCTGCCAGTTGTAGTTTAGGTAGAGAAAAATTACAAGTAACAGAATTGTTTCATGGGCAGTTAAAAATTAGTCTGAAAATTAGTCATACAATGCACTAAACAATGACAGTAGCTAAGAAGAGACACAGATTCAAAGAATGTTAAAAGTTGTAAGGGTCTGCAGTTGGTCATCTGGTCCAATCTCTGCTCAAGCAAGGCCATCATGGAGCACATGGTGCATAGGATTGTGTCTGGACAGTTCTTGGATATCTCCAGTAGGGAATACTCCACAGCTTTTCTGGACAATCTGTTCCAGTGCACAGTCACCTGCACAGCAAAGAAATTAATCCTTGTATCCAGGTAGAACATCTGTTGCTGCTACTATTCGTTTTGTTATCTCATTGCTATTTCTAGTAACTTGTTCTTATCTCAACCTGTGGCTGTCACCTTTTATGCCTTCAGTTCTCAACTTTATCCTGCCAGAGTAGGAAGGGAAGATCAAGCAAGTGGTGTTGGTTTGGGAGAGTACCAGTGAGAGCACGGAAATGAGGAGTACCATTCCTTAATCGCAACAGATGTTTAGAAAAGAAAAAGATAACTAAGCACATCTAATTAGCTTTGTGTACATTAAGTCATGGCCACTCCAAAGTGGCTGTAAATATATTTTAATAAATAAGTAAAATAACCTTAATTGATTTTGCTATATTCTCTAGAGATATTTCAAAACTGGGGTTGGATTTACAGGTGTCACAATTTTTTAGATAGCAGTTTGAGGAAAAGAAGGAATACTTCATATAGCTGAAAGAAAAAGAAGGGGTAAACTAAGAAATAAACGTTTCATAACTAGTGAGTGTGAAGAATTAAGCTTTCTTTTTCACTATTCTGTACTTACAGTGGCATATAGGTGTTCCACAAATATTTACTGGTACACCTTCATTGTAGAAGTAACAGTAGCATCTCAGAACACTAGGATCAGGAGACGTTAAAGACCAGGGAATGGTGAAGAAAGCATGTAGTTAGGAATTCAGGTTTTGAATCAAGAAATTTCCCTATTCTGAGTGTTCAACAAAGGAGGAAAGGAATGCAATTAGGCAAAGGCTGTAGTGCAAAATGTACGTAACAAGATGCCTTTTTGATATTGTGTCTGTCCAAAAAATATGGCCCATATTTATTAGCTTTGTTGCTAAGCCGAAATTTTCACATACTTGAAAATTATATGACCATAAACACTAATTATTTTTTTCTCATACTGTCTATGCTAGTAAAGAGTATCAGTCTGTAGAAGTTTTGTTGAAAGCTGTTGTATTGTGATATGTCTTCAGTGGGCACTGGGCTTCAAGCAACCACTGCAAGCAAAATCCAAGGAAGTATCAAGTAGTAGTAAGGAGGAACTTGGTAGGCTTTGCTCTGTCAGTTTCTTTTCCTGTTCAGTAGACAGTTGAATCTGGACAGTAGTCGATAAGAAATTTGTCGCATACTGGTACTAGAGGGAAATTAAATTTTTCAAACTCATCACGTTGGTAGTTTATGGAAATTTAATAATCACAAAATCATTTGTGATAAACTGTTTCTTGCTGTGATCCTGATCACAAAGCAAATACTTCACCAGTTGTAGAATTGCCTACTGTTAACAAGGAAAACTTCCGCAATATAGGCAAGTACTAAAAAGAAGGAAGAAAAACAGTTATCTTTAATTTGAATTATTTTTTAAAAATGAAAGAAAGAGAACTATCTTAAAGGCAGACCTGTCTCTAATTTCCCATAAATCCATCATATATGTTGTCATAATTGTATGTAAAAGAGCTGAGGGAAGGAGATATGCTGCAAGTGTGTTTATTTAATTTTGATGACTGAATAGATGAAATCTGCTCTAACATCCCATATGCACATTGCGGGAGGGTTTGTTGTGTGTTCAATGTAATACTGCCCTTTTCAAACCTAAATGAACAGGATGACTGAGAAATCATTCTGTAGAAAGACCAATATTAACTTGGCATTGACAGGTGAGAATCAGCTAATTGTGTTGCTCTTCCTTTTAGTGCTTCTGAACATCTAGGTTTGTTTCTCTGCAGTCTGTGCTTTGACCTCTTCAACTTATGTATGGCTGCACAGCCTTTAGACTCATATTACAAAAGCAAGGTAAGTTGGGGTGAAAGCTGTGACAAGGCACAAGGAAATGACAAACTACTTCAGAAACCGTTGGGAGCTGACTATCCTTCAAGACGACCAGTGCTTCCTTAGGGCATGGAAAATCATGGTAGTGATCTTTTTTTTACTAGAGAAGAAGTTGGCAACATGGATTTTATAAACCAGTGTTACAAAAGCTGGCACAACTTGCTGAAGCGTCTTCACCACCTTGTTAGGCTGAGTGTTTTAAAAGCTCTGTAGAAAAACTATGTACTTTCCTTACAGAAGGAAGCAAAACTGGTTTATCTAAGCAAGATGTTTGCACAGATGGCCCAAGAAACGTTTGAACAGGTGTGAAATCCATACCTGTGAGTTTGTAGACTATGCAGAACTACTCCTTCAATTTGATTTTGTATGTACTTGTGAGAAAGCCAGATGTTTATAGTTATTTATTTCATTCATTATAGTTATTTATTTCATTCATTGTATATTCCAGGTGGTAAGGAAATAACATAGCTACTTTGTTCTCTCTCCATTCTATTTGAGAGTGACAGATTAGGGGGTATCCAGCTGGAACCACAGGATTAGAGCTGCTTTGTTCTTTGGAGGATTGTGTTGTTACAAGTATTTACTGTTCTGGTTTCTTTCAGTAAGGGTAGCTGGCTCTGCAACAGGTAACATTTGCCAGTAGTTGAGACTAAACAGTTGAGACTGACTTTGTCATTAGGAGCATGCAAAGCATGCTATAGAGACATAGAAACATAAAGGTGAGAAAATACCTCCAAGGTAAGTCCAGCTTTTGACTGAACACCATCATGCCCACTAAAACCATAGTATAACGTGCTGTGTCTACTCCTTTGAGCTCCTCCAGGGATAGTGAATCCACCATTTCCTGAGCAGCCTATTCCAATGCTTAACCACTCTTTCAGTGAAGAATTTTTTTTCATTATATCCCGCCTGAACCTCTCTCTGCAAAACCTGAGTAATTTCTCTTTGTACTGTTACTTGGGAGAGGGCCTGAAGAATGGCTTGCAACAATCTCCTTTGTCATAGCAGCTATAGAGACTGGTAAGGTTACCCTGAGCCTCCTTTTTCCCAGGCTGAACATTCTGAGCTCCCTCAGCTGCTCCCCACAAGAATTTATGCTCCAGACCCTTCACCAGTTCCTTTGCCCTTCTCTGGACATGCTCCAGCGCCTCAATGTCCTTGTCATAAGGGGGCCAATACTGACTACAGGATTCAAGGTGTGGCTTCACCAGTGCCAAATACAGGGGACAATGAGTGCCCTGGTTCAGCTGGTACATGGCCTCTTGTGCCATGGTAGCTGAAGTTCATTAATAAAAAGCAGTCACTTCTACTGGTGTTTTTTCTTACCCCACAAGGGGAAAATTAAAACAGTGATTTGAACATCTGTTTTAACTTGGTCTTGCTCAAGACTCCTTAAGACTCCTTAAACCTTCTCCTTTTTATTTTCTTTCCCAAATTAACTCCTGTAGTCTTCGGGGTTTTTTTTTCTCCATTAAGGTATTTATCCTGCTTCCTTTAATTTTATGTCAGTTTAAAATACGATTTTTGTAGGTTTCATTTGTTCTACCTTCATTAAAAAAAGCCTGAAGATGTCAGCAATAAGCGGGTGGCACTTTTAATGCTTGAAGGCTGCATTTGTAGTGCTCAAAGGCATGGGCTACCTCTGACATTTCCTTCCCATGTTTAAAGAGGGAATAATGATTGAAATGTTCAGCTTAAAGTTCCTAATCACCACCCCCTGACACTCAGCAATGTGATCTCCTCCTCCATCACCTTCTTCCAACCCATTGAGAGAATAAGTAAATGCTGCTTTATGAGTGACTGAAGAAGTATTTTCTAAGGCTTAAAATAATCAGTCCTCCTACCCTGTAGATGGGGAAGGGTAGAGTGGGGGTAGGGAGGGGAAGAGAATGCACTGAAAAATAAAATATACCTGTGGTATATTTTTAATGTCAGCTATTCCTGCTTCTTATTTTTCCTCATATGTAGTTGTTATTTGGACACTATATGAATGAGAAGTCAATTAATTTCTTAACCTTAGTATGGGAAGTGTTCTTTACCATATGCTCTGCAGTGTCTGATTTGTTAAGACTGACAGTGCTGGGCATACTCAACAGAACCAACAAAACCTGGAAAAGGAGTATCCTTGATGGGGAGTGACATAGAATTGGTTTAGTTGGATCAGTCTGGGACCTGATGAGGAGAGACCATATTTGCCGAAGATAGGAGGAGACTGGAAGAGTCCTAAGTACTCTTTTGTACTTAGAGATAGAAGTAGACAATGAGGTAGAAGTGCAGGAGATTAAGTGGGAGAAATATCTGTGCTTTTCTTGATTTTCAACATGTGACTCTGTGCTGTTTTCATCTTCCACCTGAACTGAGACTCATGCTTTTACTTAATCCTCTGGTCATGGAGTATACCTCTCTTCTGGTACCTGTCACTGCCTCCCAGCAGAGGAGAGAATCCATGAGAAGATACTTTCTTCTCATGAGTAGTTGTAACTTTTTCCCAGGTTTTTATTTGTGTTCAGTTATGTTTCCAAAGTTTAAAACATAATGCTCTGGAAGAACCTAATTTTTGCAGGATGCCTTTATTTCCTTCCTCTTTATGGATTTTTCTAGGAATCAAATGGTAACCAGATGTTTGGCCATGTTCATAGTTACTCTCTTCCTATGCCTACCAAGATGAAGCAGGCTCCAACCTTCTAGTTTTTTTCATCTGCTTATGCACAAGCATTGATTTCACCTTATGTGTATGGTTATGCCTGCCTTTGAATCTTGAACTTTTAATTAGTTTTAAACAAGTTAAATTAATCTTTAATTAGTTTTAAAGGAAGTGGAGTAAGTGCTAAATCACTGAGGTTATTTCAGCTAAAATTGGAACATGGTTTTATATGCAATTGTAGGTGAGAGAGGCGAGGAGAATTCCTCTTTATTAGAAAAGCTTAGTTGAGATGGGGAGTGGGGATACAGAAAGAGGAGAAGCAGCTGCTTTTGAGAGAAGTTTGGGCTCAGACTTGGCATACTAATCCGTACTTTTGACCTAGTAATGCATTCTAAACTTGCAGACTATTCAAGCAACCTCCACGTTTTAGAGTAAGGGGTGCTCAGATTTTTCTGGAAAATCTGATGTTCTGCTGTGTCAGTTTCTAATACAGGTCATACTGACCTTTCTGTCTCAATTCACTCTCATTTTTTCCCTCAAGGACTTGCTTGTTTTACCTATTGCCCACTCTTTTTTCTTTCTGGTGGAGATCATGTACAGCGCATAAAATGACATCAAATCTTCAGTGTGACTCAGCTGCTGTGCTTACACTGCTTAACAGGATATAGTCTGAGAGGGAGATAATTTGGCTTTAGGAAGTTTCCGTAGCAGATGAGATAGTATCCTTCATCAGAGAAGGCATCCTTTCATTACCCTGTCCTACCATCCATAAAAAACTTTGTCTGGAAGAAAGAAGCTCAAAAAACACTTCTTATATTATTTTGATTTTAGATTCTAGGTTTCTAAAATTCTTTGTCAAGTACAAGAGTCATTCAACTGCCATAACCCCTGCTGCACCTCTTTGTATTGGGTCTGGCTGAGATGGAGTTCATTTTCCCACACAGTGCTGTGCTTTGCATTGGTACCTACAAAGGTGCTGGTGACACAGCAGTGTTTTGGCTGCTGCTGAGCAGCTCTGCACAGCATCAGTGCTATCTCTCCATCATTCCACCCTCCCACCAGCAGCCTGGGGGTGGGCAAATCTTAGTGGAGGACATAACCAGGGCAGCTGACCCAAACTGACCAAAGGAATATTCCACACCACATCAGCTCAGTTATAAAAACTTAGGAAAGGAGGAGGAAGGGAGAGCACTGGTTATTTAGTATTTGCCTTCCAGAGCAACTGTGACGTGCTGCAGCCCTTCATGGGAAGTGGCTGAACATTGCTTGCTGATGGGAAATGGAGAATAGGGGTTTTTTGTCTTTGCTTATGTGTGCATGAACTTTCGCTTTTGCTTTACTACACTGCCTTATCTCAACCTTTGAGTTGTTTTCCATCTTTTTTTTCGCGTGTCCAGCTGAAAAGGGGAGTGGTAGAGTGGCTTAGTGGGCACCTGGCCTCCAGCCAAGGTCAACCCGCCGGACCCTTCTTGTGTTCTGACTGCCTGTCTTAAGTGATGGGCAGAACCTATCCCAGCCTACACACTATCCTCGATGTGGTCATGGTGACACACAGTGCTTGTGCTAGTTAGGCCAAGTGTTAAATGGGGATCTTTGTGAACAGTTTTCGAGGAGGTGGAAAGGGGAAGTATCTGGTAAATGAAAACTTAGCATTCCTGAGTGCACATGGAAGAATAACAAGAGTGTGTTTTTGTGAGTTTGTTTTATTTACTGCTTGAAATAATGTAGAGGGCATTACATCCTACATAGTAATGACATTTAGAGTGGAGCAGAATCATAGTTGCTAAGAATTTTTTTCTGTTGTAGGCATGAGGAATATCTTGGTCACCTATGAGCTACTGAATAGTACACCTACAGCTTTTGATAGAGTTGTTCACAGTAGTGTCACGTTTGTTACCTAGTTATATATCTTTCCTGAACTCTAAAGGGGAATTGAGAATGGAATTAATAAACACTGTGCAGAATCACTGTGCTGTATTACTTTGAGAGGTGTTACATATTGTATTTATGGCTTTCCCTCAGTGCTTTTGTTTCCTTGGTTTCTTCCGTATTCATGCTCTTTGTGTTGAACTCTGTGTTCAGAAGAGTTTTTCTCTTTCCTCTCCCTGTGGTTTTCTTTAAAATATATACATACTAAAACTGAAAAATGAAACATGAGGAACAGTGTGGGAAAAGATACGATACAGTTGAAATTTAAAATGGATTTTTTTTGCAATGTTCAAGCAATTAAGAGATTTTTCAACTATTTATTTTATATTAAAAGAATGAGATAAAGCTTTCTTTGCAATGAATTTTTTTCTCTTAAACATTTCATGAAACAAAGCATTTTGTTTATATCTGGTTTACCAGTGGTTTACAGTGTAAGCCTAGGGGCATTACTTAGATCTTTGCATTAGATTCAGAAGGTAGGAGAAGTGACAATGTCTTATGTAAAGCATCCTAGTATTGAACTTCAGTGGAAACTGAAAATATTAGGATTATTATGCGTTGTTAGACTTGTTCAAATGCTTAGAAGTTGTCTAGAATAGGGGAAGGGTTCTGGTGACACTGTTGCTAAGTTTGTCACTGTTAAAGCATGTCCTTTTTTGTAGCAAGGCCACTTTTTGGGGGTTTGTTTTTAACCAAATTTGATATTAAAGAGTGCTATTAGGAATCTAAAAAATTAAGGCCTTGGTCTGACTTCTTCTGTTATTTGGCTGGGGTTTTTTTATATTTTCTTTTTGTCTGTGTGCCAGTCAAGGGGATGTAGTGCCCTGTGACTGTATTTACTTCAATGACATGAAACTTAATTCACTTACTATTTGGTGGATTGGCAGACAAATATTGTTAGGTGTAGTTTGGGCCTAGATGTGGGTGGACTATTGCACCTACTAGTAATCAAAGTCCTTACTAAGTATCAGTTAAAGGAAAAAAGTATTTAAAAGACTGGTTACTGGTAGATGTGGCAAACTCTGGAGGGCCATAGAGGGGAGAGGGATGTCCATTTATAGGTGCTGGAATGCCTGGTCAGAAGTGGTCTACTCTGACATTATTCATTCATGTCTAGGATTTTTAATTTGCTTTTGTTTGCTAATTGGATCTTATATTTAGCACATCTAAGAACTACTAGTATTTATTGATTTGTACTTTGTTTAGGAAATCTTCAGGAGCTCAAAGCATGCATAAAGAGAGGAGAAACCTTTGGTTGGTTTTAAACTTCAAGTTCACTTCAGTGGGCTTCAGCAATTTGTCTTCTAAATGTATGTATAAAACTTTACCTCTTAGAGCAACTAATTCAGATGGAGACAATTCTTACTCAGTATTTAAGTAAGAATTTATTATAATTTGCAAATCACGAACAAACTTGGCTGTAATAAACTGTGTTGTATTTGTATTCTAGACTTATCTCCAGTTTATCTAATTATTTTGATTCAATGAAATAAAAAGTGTCAAAAAGTCTGCAGTATCTTTTACAGGCATTTTTGGGGGGCCTAGCTGGATTTTTCATTGCATCATGGTCACAGCTTGCTTTTGTCAACTTTGCATTAGTCACTCTGCTTTACCTTGGGAAATGGTTCTTGGGGTCCACGCTTCTGTGCAACAGCTGGTTCTAAAACCTGTGGAGAGATATGAAATTCTTATTTCATCAGAGCTGAGGTGAAGCTGCAAATAACTATGCCAAATATGCTAAAAAGTTCTGTAAAAAGCTGGAGTGGTTTGTAAGTCTGAGATTATCTAAGAAAGAGTTCTGTAATTTAGAGAATGGAGTATCTTAGATTTTGAACGTATCACCTTAGGTAGATGCAAATTTCCTATCCACGAGTGGGTGGGAAAATAACACTTTTGGACAAGATTAGAACAGCATGATTGCTGAGTTGGAGTGGGGACCTGCAGGGAGAGCTGAGGTGCCTTGGTTCATGTTACTGAGTACATACATCTGCAGAATGTTTGGGTGAGTTTCCACAATGCTAAGGACATTGAAATGTGGGTGAAAGCCCTAGACTTCAGGGCTCAGAGGCAAAACTTGTACTGGAGTTTGACTTATGTACTGAGAGATCTGAGTGCTTTCAGGTTTTTTTTTGTTTTCCTAGTTTTGTGTCATCAGAAAGAATTTTAGGAGGAGTTTAATAATAGTTTAGTGGGAATTTTGAAATGTGACATCTTTATCAACAACCTAACCTGTTGTTAAGTACTGTTCTGTTATAAATGCTTAATCTTTCTTTTATAATGCCTTGTCATAAAGGAACTGATAATAGCACAATTGGTAATAGCATATTTTAAAATCCAGAAAAGAACACTGTATCTTCCTGTCTAATCTTCTATATATCATAAACCAGTCTTGGGCTTTCTTCCTCCTTTCATCAAGTTCAGTAATAGGATTATCTGAAACCTATTTTGTAACAGTGCATCTACTCTTCATGTTTTAAAATTAGGAAATACAGAATCTACTTAGTTCTTAGCTGTTTCTTCAGCAGTTTGATACTTCTTGTGCCAGTATCAATTGGGATATTCTGGAGTTGAAACTGGAGGCACCATTTCACCTAGAATGATAGAATGAAGAAACAATTTGATACTTCTGTTTCTGAGAGAAAAATAGGTATTTATTCTAAAGCTATTGTATATCTCATTTAAGCAGTTCCTTGTTTTTCCATTATGCTTTTTGTTTTTTCAGTCTGTCCGGTGGTCTGCTAGATCTTTTTAGTCTGTTGGGGCACAATTTTCACAACATTCATTCTGCAATTTTTTAATGGTGTTTCAGGATATAATTTCAAAAATCGTTAAGAAAGGTATCATTCTTGTTTCAGAGCTTGGGAGGAAGTCAATGTGAATATAGGCAGTTGGAATATTTTTCTTCTCTTTGAAAGTGAAGTGTAGAATTTAATGCTTAATCATACTCAAAACAGAGTTCTGTAAATACTGGATATACAGGATGATAATTTGACTCTTCTGCAGTGTTTGGGGAAGCACCAGTGTGTTCTATTTTTTAAAAGTTCAAGAGAACACAGACTTTGAAATGTTACATTGGGAAAATGTTTGTCTTAATGTTTCTTTCTCCTTGTCACTTCTATTAGACTTCTGCAGAATCTCTGCTAGTGGTATATTTTATGAAAAACCTTTTTTTACTTTCAGAGCCCTGGGTTTTCTGGCCTGCATTTTTTTCAGACAATCTGCGTTTATAGAGATAACATGATCTTGGCAAAGCATGTAGTGCAGTATCTTTGCAAAAGCTGCCTGGTGTTTCAGATAGGGAACAAGTGGAGAACTTGCAGGCCATTGGTGTTTAAGGAAACATTAAATAAACTATCAAGCAAGTACATTTTCCTGAATTGTAAAGATAAAGCTCAACATTGCTGTCATAAATTATTCAGCAATATGAAGCATTTACATAGGATTTAAAAAAAAAAATGTATTCTTTTGCAAAAATACTTTAGCTCGTCTCATGAAGAGTAACAAGAAGCTGCAGTATTTGTATGTTATAATATCTTTCTATATAATCATAGTATTTATATCTTTATATAAATATATATTGATGCAGCAATCTGAATCATTATTTGATAGGCTTTTGAATGCATTTACATAGTCTTGACTTCACTATTTAATCAAACTTCTACAAAAATTATTTTATTTGAAATATTTCTGTGGCAGTTGCTTTATTATCTTAGATTGTTGCTGGTGTGTCTCAGATGGTCTTTGTTATGTTGTCTCATTTTATGTGGTCAGGCCCTGGCTCTCTAAGAGTTTATGAAAGTACCTAGTCGTAGCCTTGTTGAGACTGCATGGGATCTAAGTTGGAGAGCAGAGAGAGAAGTGTTCTGGGTTTGTGTTGGTTTTTCCTCTGGCTGGATTTTTGGGAGGATCTTTGTTGGGTTTTTTTTTGTTTGTTTGTTTGTTCGCTTGGTTTTCTCAGGGGGAGGGTGTTTTTAAGGCAGGGTTGTAAAATAATATTGGTGTCCTGGGTTCCTGTAACTGATGTGTCACTGTAAAGAGCTAGCTTGGTTTCCTTTACAAGATTTTAGGCACTTTTCCAAAGACAAGGAGGAAGGAGGGCAATGACACCAAAATCCCCTAGAAACCCCCACATCTTGAGGAGGGAATTTGTACAATGAAATTTGCATTAGATCTGACCTTTTGAAGTGCAGTTTCTTAACTGAAGCTGAAAAAGCAGGGTAGGCTGAAGAAAGCATTTCTGGAGAGTCCAGAGGAGACACTGACATCTATTGCTCTTGGCTGTTTGGAAGAGTTTGCTGATTCACTCTGACTTAACTGTTATCCTGTTTACATGCTGACAGTTATTTCTGCAAAGAGCTAATTTGTTGAAGCATGTGTTTCCAGATTCTGTTCAGATAGTGTAGCTGGCATAGGAGTAGTCTCTTCATCCAGATGTTTTCACATTTTTGATGTCTCTGTCTCAGATTTACTAGATTTGTTTTCTCCCATATTTTTCCTAGAAAAAAATGTTCCAGGATTCAAAGTAATAAATGTTTTATCATTTAGCCTATTATTGCAATTTTCTTGTCCAAGACCACTTTACCCTTTGCTTTGGTTGGATGATGAAAACTGGGAGGGAAAGAAGCCAAATTACCTATGAAATTAGGAGAAGCAGGAGTGACATCTTACAAACATCACATTGTGTAGAGCATAGTGGATCTTGTGGTTTCTCTTTTTGTAGGCAGAAGAGCTGGTTGGGGTTATGATTATTATATTCTCCATGGTACTTTAGTATGTATGGCAGAGTGTAAAAGTATACTTTTAATCTCTAAGGGTAGGTATGTAGAAGTTTGGCAAAGAGTAGTAGTTTCAATTGGGATATTCTGGAGTTGAAACTGGAGGCACCATTTCACCTAGAATGATAGAATGAAGAAGTTGGTGATACTGTTCTGTGGAATTATGTCCCACTTAAGTGACTGCAAATTTCATTAAACAGTCTTTGAGGTTTGAGTAACAGATTTTTTTCTTAAGATGTTCTCATTCTTGGGCAGGAATCAGGATCATTCATTCCCCTCTTTTTTTTATTTTGTCTCTTTTTTCTTTTATGTTACTAAATGCAATCTGTGTTGAAAGAGAAGAGCCACAAAATAAACTGTGAAGGTGAAAGCATATTTTTAAACATTGTTTTGACACTTCTTGGCTTTAGAATGGCTCTTCCTCTTTCTGTTTACCTCCTACTTGCCTAGAGGAGACTTGGTGATGTCACTGCCCTTTCTCCCTGCTACATAATCTTCTGCTCCTGGTTCTCAGGAAAATTCTAGCTCTTCAGTCTTTTTGAGCTTGGCATATAATGTAAACACATATGACAGTTAGTTAGTTCTACTAAGCTCTGAGGAGGGAAGTTGCCAGACTGGGGAAGTAAGATAAGAGTGCAAGAAAATGGAGATGACAGAATTCAGAAGGAAGTCCAAAAGAGTTTAACTTTTTAAAATCCAGGTCTTGGAAAAAGCTTTCTGAACAAATGTAAGCAGGGCAATTTATACTAATAGCCAATGGCGATTGGAAAGAGTTATGACTCGTTTTCCTCACATAAATGTTTGCGATGATAAATGCTTTTTATTCTGTGAGGAAGATAACTTTTTAATTTCTACCAGTAAATAACTCTGCTTGTTTAAACTATTGTGTTGATATTTGCTTAGAAGATAATATTTTTATAGACTCCAAACTCCAGAGTGCGTTTGTAGTGGAGTGGATAAAGAACTTTGCCAAAGTCTTACGTCTTCCATAAGTACCAGACTACTGCAGGTGGTGGGTCTTGGCAGTTCTCTGTTCTGTCTGATTCACAGTTAAGCTGCTAAAACCAGAATGTACCTGGGAAATCCCTGCCTGCTGCAGAAGGCTGGGAGAAGAGTAACTGGTTTGAAACCTATTCCATTGTGATACAGCTGGTGCCTGCCATGCCACTCTTTAAGCACCCACAGACTGCAGCATGAAATGTGTATGACTTCTGATAGCTTAGCACTAGCCTGTGTGGTTCTTGACAGCATCTGTAAACCAACATCTGTTTTGCAGCTGTTGATGCTATTCTTTGGCCTTGCAGTACCATAGAGACAAGTGCTGGTTCATGTTTTCACAAATTGCTCTTCAATGATGACAGCAGGAATTGCATTTGGGAAAGAATAGCTAGCCAGCTTCAAAAGTGTCAGCTTCCAGCATCACCTCCCCACTGTCGCAATCTTGCAACATTTAAGAAAATGAAGTAATTTCACAAACTACTTTGCTGTTGTAATTTTTGCTTTTGTTTGCACTTCAGTATTTTTTTTAGACTTGTGAGTGAGGCTGTAACTATCTTATATATTCTCTAGAGGTTGTTGAGGGGTTTTTCCCTATGACAGTATTTTTAACAGAAATGCCTTTTAATAGAAAAATACTTTTTTTGTTTTCTTCTTTGGTGGTTTGTTAGAATCTTTTTTTAACATTAAAATGTTATTTTTTCATTGAATCTTTTTTTATAATTTCCTAAGTCCTTTATAATGCATTTATAATTCCCTAACTTCTTCATAATGCATTGTAACCAAAATACAACCCGGCAGATTGAGACCAGTAGCAAGCAATCCTGCTTTTTACTTTGAATTACTTTTCTCTCTGTACAGAGGGGCATTGGAAATTCCTATTTAATTCTTTCTGAGAGAAATCAAAGAACCAATTCGGGAAGACCTGTGCTCTAGTAAGTAACTTGGAACAATCTTTTGTTCCATGATCTGAACTGTTAGACAGTATTCAGTTTTCAGTACAGCTAATTAAAAAAAAAAAAAAAAATCTAGTATGATGTAGCATATTTGTGAAAATATCACTTAGTCCTAACTTTTGTGTTATCATTTTTTATTGCATCACTTTAAAGGAATTTTGGAGATCTGTAAGGGAATAAAGGTAAATTGGTGATATTTTTCACATGCCTTATGCAAAAGGCCTTCCTGACCTATTATTGTTAGTTTTCCTATGTCTTCTGTGTATATAAAGATGTGCAGATAATGGTGGCTCTGAATGGACTAAGGACCCTCAGATGCCATTATCTTGGGACATAATCTGTGCCAAATATTTGGGCAACTGTTTAAATTGCTTGGAAATTTTCTGATGAAATAGACTTTTGCTGAAATATATCACATGGTGAAACTGAAATATTTTGCAAATATGGACCAACTCTTTCCAAAGTTCTAATGGAACCTAAACAGAGCTGTTGCTTCTGGGCAAGTCTTCGATTTGATTACTTCTCTGGTAACTCACCTGCTTGGCATGTTACTGTGGTGTTGAGGTTTCTACCTAAGTGTGGTGTTCATTCATTTTTTGACAACAGCCCAAGGTTGTTTTTTCCTTCAATAAATACAGTGATTACTTCATTCTATTGTGAAGAAGTTAGAAATCACGATTTTAAAATTTCAGAATGGAGAAGGGATAATCCTCATATTAACAGCTATCCACTTAGTTCCTGTGTGTCATGCAAGCAGATCAGGCCAGGACCATTACACTTTTCTTACACAAAAGTTCATGGTCTAAATTGTCGATACTGGGACTAGTTTTTCAAGTGAAAGCTTTAAGCAAATGTTATCTTTGCTTCTCTACCTGGTTTTTTTTAGGTTGGGTTTTTTGGGGTTTTTTTTTGACATGTTTTGTCATTGATATGTTAATCTGTCACCTGTATGTATTTGCTTGCTACCACATGCATTCAAATTTTGGTGTGTTAAAATTCTTGTGTGCTTTTAGTATACTGATAGCTGGTAAAACAGGAAAACACCTTTGGAATTACTTAATGTTTTGGGCTTGTTTCTTGTAGGAGCAGTTGTTTTCTTGTGCGGCTTTACCTCATGACAGGGAACAATAGGCAAAGCATATTAGAAAAATGACATGAAAACTGAAGATGCACTCCTTGTTCACTAAACATCTTTGAATATGCTTTAGAAGAATATTTTATATTTTTGTGAAAGCTGGTTTTAAGATCAGAATAAATATTAACTGAGAAAAGACTAGAGTTTTAATGCAGGAGATGGTGCATTTAAAGTGCTGATTAATTTTATTTATGAACTTGCCACCTGTTATCTAAATAATGGAAAAAAAATCTCAGATTTCCCATATTGCTTAGTATTTTTAAAAGTATTGTTGAATATTTTGGCAAAGTTAGTCGGGAGAATATTTTCTTATGAATATGTATTGGAAATATATTAACCTCTTGCTGTGAATTTTTTGTGAAATTTTCACTGATGTGGCATGTTTGGACTGAACAAAGACTTCGTAACCTCTTGTTGGTCAATTAAAAAGCACTGTCATTCTGTAAGAAATGACGTTTTAAAAATACAATGCTTTATTGCCTGTCAGCACAGTGTATGCATTTGCTTCCTTGAATTTAGTATACTTATGTATTTAAAGCAACCCACTGAAACAAGCTTGCAGATGCAAAGAAAATCAGACTAGATTTGTAAGGATACCTCAGGTCGCATATGCAGAATATGAAAACTATTGCTATTGTAAGAAGATTTTAAACTTCTAATAACATAACAAGCCACACTGAGCACATGTTATAGGCAAGCTTAATTGTGCTCCATTTGTCTGTGTATTCAAACTGAACTGCAAAGACTATAATTGAATATTAATTGTACACATTAAGCATAAATCAAACAAACTAGCCAGAATAATGGCAAGTGGGAAGCTGACTGACTTTGTTTCTCAATCTAAGTTTGCATTTAGAGGTAAAAACTTGATTTTAGTTGTCTTGGAACAAGATGCATAATACCTTTGTGGTGTTCTATTACTACTGGCTAATGTAAGGTTTGTTAGCACTTTTTATGATACTTTGCTGCAATCTTAATCTATTGTCACAGGTGGAGTGAGACCTTCAGACAAAGTTTATTAGAAAAGTTCCCATTGAATCATGAGGTGCAGAAGGGACCCACTTGCCTTCTAAACTCCTAAGATGAGCCTGGTGTGGCTGGATCCAATCTTAGTGCCAAACTAATAAATTTAGGTCTAAGAAATTATAGGGTTGTGATTGAACCTTTGTACAGCTTTGTCCCACAGGATTAAGGGAGGCAAACCAGATATATTAATATCAAAATTAATTCTTTGCTATAATAAATTTAATAAATTTACTAAATTAGACATAACGATCTTAATTGGAATTATGTACTATGCAATATATTAGCTAAAATTAGGATAGTATAGTGTCCTATGTCAAAGCAATTATATTAAAGGAATTACATTAAAGCTAGCAAAGAAACCACCTAAAAAAC